GTAGGAGGGTATTAATTTTAATCTAGAATCTCAATCTATCTGCTGCGATGATGTGCCCTTCTCAGTCGGGGTCGGCCATGACTCTGTGACTGGCAGGGCCAAAGCAGCGCGGCCCTTGAATAATATGAAAATATGATCTAAATTGTGTCGAAGCGACACAGGGGATGCGGGGGTCACTGGGTAGTGCTAAAAAAACAGGGCGCTGCACGATGGTGACCGGCAAAGTTGTGTGGATTGTCTATGTTTGTGATTATGTATGTTTCATAAATAAGTATACAAACTTATTATACATGATATATTTAAGTGTGTGTATTCACTGCCCCACCCATTCACAAAACGCACACCAATTATCAATCAATTATTGCATATCAAGTACATCATTCACTGACAGCTTTTTCTTGACGTGTTGTTTCTTTGGCATGTTGACAATATCTGTGAAAGGTATAGGATATTTTGATTAGTAAAATTGCCACCAATTATGGTTTAATTTTTCAGTTCTTTCAGCCACCTCCTTGTAACACCACACACTCCTTCTCCATGTAGGCCTACATAGGTTTGATTGTGCTAAATAAACCAGCGAATCAAATTCTTCTGTGCGAAGACAAGCATGGAAATATACCATGAATGCCCGAAGTATCAGATTTGGAACTACCCCAAAAAACAAACAATGTGTGAAGACAAATGCCCTGAGTACCAAATTTGGAACCATATAATTTGACACTTGATCTACTTACTTCTGAACTAGGAAACAAAAAGGGGCTCTCGTGGCCTAAAGGTTAAAGTGTTGGCCATTCATTCAAAGGTCCCGGGTTCGAATCCGGGTAGCGAATGAAACATTTTCTCCTCTAACTAAAATTGTCTCCTTTCACCTCCTTTCCTGCTCTCTAGCAATGTTCTGTTGTCTGCTTTGGTCTCCTCTTTCTGCCCCACCCCCTCTACTCCTTTGCCCCCTCCTCTGGGCTCCTGGCTCTTTCTGCTGCCTTTCTATTCCTACTCCTTGGCTCCTTCTTACTGCTGTCTTTCTGCCACACCCCTTATCTTCTAGTAGGAAAGATCTACACCTAGCCTTCTTGGACAAGGGTGAAAAATCTCGGAGGGTCCGTGTTGAAGTTGCGCACGTTATAGATCCCTTGGTGGTCTAAAATCGATAAGAGTAGGCTACGGCCGCCCCCAGGCAATATTGAAAATG